CCTGCCCCCCTGCACAGGTGGATGAGCAGAGGAAGGGTCTGCTGGGGCCGCAGTGCACCCTCCCCTTTAATGAGGGTCCAGAGATACGTCCTCTCCAGTGGAAAGTGAAAGGTCTGAGCCAGTGGCCAACCCTATGGCCTCAGTGGACAACGGGCAGCGTGGAGCTCCCTCCACTGGCCTCCCGCCTCTCTCCGCCCTGGCTGTGAACAGTGTCACATCTCACTCCCACTGGGACACCAGCCCCAGGACAAGTTCCTCGGGCCTTGCCCTCCCTGGGAAGGTCCTGGAGGCCAGGCTGCCAGAGGCATACACTGTCCCAGGCACAGGGACACGAGTCACCCCTTCCCTGGGTCAGCCTGGGTCCCATCGGATGTCTGTTCCTTCATTAGTGAAAGTGTGTGTAACGGCCTGCATTTAGGTCCCAGGCAGATTCTGAGAAGCGTGGAAGATGTTGGCAGAAGGTCTGAAAGGATCTAGGAAGTTCTACCACCCAGGGAGTCTGCAGGAGTCCAGCAGCCCTGTGGGTCATGGGAGCGACCAGCACAGTCCGGCCTGTCAGTAATCAGGAGAGGAAGACTCCTCTTGGGGCAGCAGCCGGGATGCAGGTCTGGGCAGGCGTGCGGAGGGGCGACAGTGTCCACATGGTGCGGGTGGTGTCCACAGGATCCTCCGGGGCGAGTGGGGCTGGGAGGGCACTGGATCCTGACTCAGAGACCCCAGGCGGACCAGGAAACCGCTGCTGCTCTCGGTCCACACCCCCCACACCCACTGCCCGAGGCCCTGGGGCCAGGCGCTGCCCTGGGGTAGAGAGGCCTCCACTTTCCCTGCAGTCAGGGCGCCCGGACAGGGCTGAGCCCTTTCCTAAAGGTGCGGGAGGGGGAGGCGCGGGGACAGCCAGCACGCCAGCAAGGCCTCCCTTTGCCTCCTCGCCCTGCCTGCTCCCTTCCGTCCAAGCACGGGGGCCTTGGGGGTGCATCTCTGGGTCCCGTGACAGAAGGTTTGCAGCAATCGCTACAGGCCTCCTGCCACCCTCACAGACTGCCCACGTCTGCAAAGACACGGCCGCTTTTCCCAGAGGAAAACCTGTTCTCCCCCCTATCCATCTGGGCTGGCCTTGTGACCTGCTCTGGCCAACAGGATGCAGGGGACGTGAAGTCCCAGTCCCAGGACTGGGTCTGTGTCCACAGGCCCCAGAAGCCAGGGCATCAGACACAGAAACCAGATGCCTGCCTCACTCAGAGATTCTGGGTTGAGACTTAGGCATCAGTATTTTTTAAAAGTCCCTAGTGATTTTAATCAAGCAGGTGCTCTGGCCAACAGGATGCAGGATTGTCTGGTTTCTGTGTCTGATGCCCTGGCTTCTGGGGCCTGTGGACTCAGGCCAGCTGATGGCTGGAGCTCTGGGACAGGGAACACCCTCCCTGCCCCCAGCACACCTTTTACAGCAAACCAGCCCACCCCCCTGCCTTTTCTACTCTTACACTCCTGAGACACCAGCACCTTGCACCCACCCACCAGTCCACCCGCCCAGCAGCCCGGGTCAGGCACAGACCGCTGGGGCACCCCACACTGGATGAACCTCACTCCCAGGCCATGCTAGGACAGGGTCTCAAGAGCTCTGGTGCCTTCTGTAAAGAGTTCCCAAGAGTTGACACCAAAAGCGCGATCCATAAAAATAAAAAAATGATCAACTGGACTTCATCTAAATGTAAAACCTTTGCTCTGGGGAAGACACTGAAACAAACTGCTGGGAGAAAACACTTGTAACTCACAGATCTGAAGGAGGACTTGTATTTAGAACGTACAGAGAACACTCAAAGCTTGCTAAGGAAACAACCCATTTTTAAATTGGGCAGAAGGCCTGAGTAGACACTTTACCCAACGACTGACTACTCATCTGACAAATAAGCACACGAAAAGCTTCCCAAAGTAATTAGTCCTTCGGGAAATGGGAATCCAAACCTCAAGGAGAAACATTATTCCGATGACCCAGGAGCCAACAAACCAGACAGCACTCGGTGCTGGCGAGGATGCGGAGTAACTGAGCCTTATACACTGCTGGTGGGAACATGAGATACAACTAATAGGGAAGATTGTTTGGCAGTTTCTCCCGAAGTTAAACACACACTTGCCACATGACTCAACAATCCCACTCCTAGATGTTTACCCAAGAAAAATGGCCATTTTCATTCCCACAAAGAGCCGTGTGGGAATGTTCATAGCAGCCCTATTCACAATCACCCAAAAAACAGGAACTGTCACCACGGGTGTCATTCAGTTCAGCCGGGGCATTGATCAACAAACTGGCCCTGGACGGCGTGGCTCAGCTGTTGAGCGTTAACCTATGAACCAGGAGGTCAGGGTTTGATTCCTGGTCAGGGCACATGCCAGGGTTGCAGGCTTCATCCCTAGTGTGGGGAGTGCAGGAGGCAGACTTTCAATGACTCTCTCATCGTTGTTTCTCTCTCTCTCTCTCTCTCTCTCTCTCTCTCTCTCTCTCTCTCTCCCTCTCTCTTTCCTTCTCTGAAATCAATAAAAATGCATTTTAAAAAGCATGAAAAACCATGTGTATCCACACAGTGGAAGACTACTCAGCAGTAATAAAAGGACCATGGGTACTCGGGACAACATGGAAGAATCTTAACTGCGTTGTGTTAAATGGGAGAAGCCAGGCAAATGGCTGTGCGCTTGTGACTCTGTGGGGAAGACAACTGTAGGGTGAAGAACAGGTCGGTTTGGGGGCACTGTCCTGTGTCCTGTCTGTGTGGTGGTTACCATGCACAGGATATAGTTCCGCAGCCAAAACTGTGGACATGTGCACCAAACACATTTCCCCTGAGTATAAAAGGCAGCATTTCAAACGGAGGAATTTGGAGCCGGTGACATCGGATCACAGAGAGGTTTTGGGGAGAGGGGGCTTCTGAACACAAATACCAACCCCCAGGCAAGGAGCACGCTGAGACTCTGAACCCCCGAGTGCCCGGCGTTGGGCACTGTTCAATGTTCTCCCATTCAGAGTGGACAGCAGTGTTAAGAAAGGGCCCCCCACTCATGGGATCCCCAGACCACTCAACCTCCCTTCTTCCCCAGGACCACCAGCTCTCCTCAGCACGTCACCTGCAAAGGGGCTCAGGACAGATGTGCTGACAAGGAGGACACAAGAGGAAAGCCATGGAGATCCTCAGAAGAGCAAATGAGACTGTCTGTCCCCTCAAGGTCCTCCTGCAGGCCCTTGCAGAAGCAGCTCCCTGCCATCCTATACCACGCATGCACGCACACATACACGAAGGCACAACACAGACATGTGCATGCGTGCACACACACTATCACACATATAACCAAGCATTCACAGACACAGAGGCATGCACACACAGTCACAGACACCAATACACATACACACACCATGTCACCTAATACAACAAAGTGAGCACACACGGGGATGAGGCACCCCTGACGCCTGTGGGCTGCTGCCAGAAGCTCACGTGCCTGTCCCTCGGGGTCCTTGGGTTGTGTGTCCCCGCCTGTCTCTTCTGTGGCGGGGGATGCTCCCATGGATACAAGTCATTCTCCAAACACTTGCTGAGTCTCCAGCAGCCAACAGGTCTGGCCCGCGGCTCATCCTGTGTTCAGATCAGGAAAACTCCAATCACACAAGTCACCTCAGGTCCTCATGAGTCCAACCCTTGTCCACTCAAGTTTTTCTGCCTTCAACCCCTTCCTAGTCCATAGCTTTTAATGCTGAAAGCTGGGGTTCCCTGGGTTTCAGGCACCTGCTTGATTAAAATCACTAGGGACTTTTAAAAAATACTGATGCCTAAGTCTCAACCCAGAATCTCTGAGTGAGGCAGGCATCTGGATTTCTAGAAGATCCCAGGTGACCTCATGTGCAGCCGGGTCCTGCTCAGACCACCACCAGCATGCCCACACCCCATTCATTCCACTGAGCTCCCACGGGAGCTGGTCCCTGCCTTGAAGTGGGAAAGACGGACAATAAACCCATCACAGTGAGTCATTATGAACGTCAGTGGGTGCAGCAGGCGGGTGCGGGCTTTCCCTCCCCGGCACTGTTACTGCCGTGGGCGGTGTTGTGGGGCACAAGCTGTGCTTCCGCAGAGCGGGAGCCGCTCTGACCCTGGAGCTCACCTGGCGGTGCTGGCTGCGAATTCAGCACATCCAGGTCCACCTTTGGAAGATGCATTTTTAAAATATATATGTTTTTACTAATTTCAAAGAGAAAGGGAGAGATAGAAACATCAATGATGGGAATCATCGATCGACCGCCTCCTGCACTAGGGATCGAGCCCATCAAACCCAGGACCCTTCAGTCTGCAGGCCGATGCCCTATCCACTGAGCCATACCAGCTAGGGCCGGAAGATGCATTTTTATCTGGACAGCTGTGCGGACAAGAAGGGGCTTTTTAAAAAAAAAAAAATTAAATTTATTGGGGTGACGTGATTTTTAACATTTTATGCGTTTCAGGTGTACACTTCTATGATACATCTGCTGCTTATTGCATCGTGTGCATTCTTACCTTAATTTTCCTCACCGTTGTGTGCATTCTTATCTTAATATTACTGCTTTATATATAAGCGAGTCTGGTCCAATCAATAAACACAGTAAGACGCCATTGCACACGAACGGAAGGAGGGAAAGCAAGCCAGGAGCCCGCGGGCGCGTGGGAAAGTCCGCGGCGGCAATGGGACCAAGGGAAGCGCACAGAAGCGGGAGGCGGGGACTCTGACCCAGCCGGTACTGGCACTGCTCCTGGGGACCCGGCAGAGAACACATTTCATAGCCAGGGAGGCCTTCCCCCAACCCGACCCCGGCAGAACCCCTCGGCCACGGGAGCGATGGACTGCGCGGTGATCAGCGGGAGGACGGGAGGGTCTGGCGCCTGCCCCTGAGATCAGCCCTGCCCCGGGTCACTCTGAGCCCTTTCCCGCGCCCCCAGCGGAGGTGGCCCCGGTCCGGCACCGGCCAGGGGGCGGGGGGCACTGACCTGGGCGCCCAGCGGCGCCGAGCCGGTGACCAGCAGCAGCAGCAGGAGGAGGAGCGCGCGGGAGCCGGGGAGCCGCATCTCGCCGGCGGGGACCTCTCTGCCTGGAGGGAACGCCGCTGTCCGCAGGCTGCCGAGGGTGTCCCGCGGTGCCGAGGGTGTCCCGCCGGTGCCGAGGGTGTCCAGCAGATGCCCAGTGCGTCCAGCCCTCAGGGTCCGGGCGGTGGGAGCGCGGCGGCCGCTGGGAGGGAACGGAGGGAGCGCAGTTAAGCCGGTGCGCGCCGCCCGGGGCGCCTGCGGCCACCAGCGCCCTGGCCCGGCGGCGGCGGGGGCGCGGAGGGAGGCGCCGGCCCCCAGGCGGGGAGGGAGGAGGGGCCGCCGGCCAGGAATGCGCCTGGAGCGCGCCCAGCTCCAGCCGCAGGCGGCGCCACGCCAGGACCTGGCCAAGGGGGTTGGGGGGGAAGGGAGTGTGCAGGGCCCCGGGGAGGGCAGCGGGTCCGCACGGAGCACGAGGCCAGGCTGGACGCGCACCCGCGCGAGGCCTCCTGCCTGGCCCTTGCCGGGCCCAGCCCGGCGGGGAGCCTGCAGCTGACACACACACACACACACACACACACACACACACACACACACACACACACACACTTCACGCCCAGTGCAACGCCCACCCAGTCTGTCCGCTCCACAGCTACGCGAGCACCGTCCTCCGCCCAGTGTGGCGAGGAGATGGGCTTCAGAAACTCAACAGGAGGCCCACCGGGTTCTCCATCCGCGGAGGCTAGAGTCCTTCTACTGTTGGGGTTCAGGGACTCCCTGCTCAGGAACTAGACACCTACTGTCCCCTGCCACCCAGACGGAAGGGGACACAGTCTCAAATGGAGGCGAGTTGTGGGGACATTGGTGAGTTGCTTTGCTGCAAACGGTGGGGAAACAGCGCTGGGCAGGGCAGGAGTGAGCGGTCTGAGGTCCCCTGCACCGTGGTCTGTAGGAGGAAGCAGATGGCCTTCCCGCACTCCTGGAAAACATTATCTAAGTTCTCACTGGAAAATGTTTTCAGAGGCAGCGCTGCAGATGGCACGGTGTACACCGTGTGTGCCAAGCCCCACACCGAGTCCTCTTCTGCACCTCACGTAGCAGAGCTCACTCGGAGCTCAGCAAGTGTTTTCCTTGGAAGGCAGCAGGGGTTTGGGAGTCCCCTGGGAAGCGTGGGGCAGAGGGCAGCGGCCACCTGAGCGTTCACTACCCAGAAAACCCCATGGTGCCTCCTGGCCACCTTCCTGCCAGAGGAAGTGGAGCGGCCCATGTAAGTGCACGTGGCATCCCTGGTGAGACGTCTTGAAGAGAGACCTGGGCAGCACTGCGGCTCCCTTGTCCAGGTGGAAGGGGCCAGGCAGCCTGTGGAGACTGGCTTACTGCTCAGCCTGTCATGTGTTTGCTCCCTTTCTCTCTGTACCCCGCATCCACTAGTGAAAGGTTCCTTCTGGCCAGTGTGGTCGTGTTCATTTTGCATTCTATCCCACCTGTGTTTACGCTGCACCTCCTCCCCCCCAAGGAGGGCAGCATTGCTGGGACAGGGGGGCCCCAGGAGGCTGATCCAGACCAGATGCCAGAGCCCTAAACCAAGGCGGCCATAGGACAAGGATAGCAAATGGAAATTAGTCAGCAGGAAGAAATACCAACAAACAACCACACTCCCAAAGCCCCCAAAACCTGCACACAAAACTCCTGAAGTCCTGTGCTCGTGCATTTAAGTGAAAGGTGGGACAAGGCCGAAGGCAGCCTGTCCTCTGCACACATGCTCTGGGAGGAGCCCTGAGACGAGTCTGCCTCTGGGACAAGTCACTCAACCACACTCCATTCACTGTCTTCATCCTCGAAGGTGGGAATCCAGGTCTCTTCCAGCTTGATGAACCCATAGAGAGAAAGAGAACAAAAAAGGTCAGAGTCTGGGTCCCAGGGGTTGGTTCTCGGTCCTCACCTCTCGCTTTTCAGTGATGGGGGCAGCCAGACCCTGTCAAGTTTGTCTGAAAGCAGAGACCACGGCAGTCAGCCAAGTGCCCTGCATTCAGGGCTCCCAAAATTAACCTTTACCTTAATATAATGGTCCCGTTGGCTCTCTTGCTGCTTCTGTCTACAAAAGAACGTTCAGCCTAGGAAAATGTCTTGTAAGAGTTTATTTGAGCCAGATAGCAACATCACAACAGATTGAAAAGATGCTCCAGTGAATGGCAAGTTTACAGCTATCTTCTATAATAATAAGAGGGTAATACTGAAACCAGTTTGGCTTAGTGGATCGAGCGTCATCCTTCGGACTGAGAGGTCCCAGGTTCGATTCCGGTCAAGGGCATGTACCTTGGTTGCGGCACATCCCCAGTGGGGGGTGTGCAGGAGGCAGCTGATCGATGTCTCTCTCTCTCATCGATGTTTCTAGCTCTCTATCCCTCTACCTTCTTCTCTGTAAAAAATCAATAAAATATATATTTTTAAAAAAGGGTAATATGCTGATTAGACCAGACATCATCCAGGATATCCTTCCTGACAAAGCCAGAGGCAGGGGGAAGCCAGCGGGTCTCAGCTGCTGGAGGAAAGCCAGTGCCGGCAGCCGGGGAAAGGAAAGCCTACTCTTGCACGAATCTTCATGCATTTGGGCCTCTAGTTTTAGACATAAAAATCAAAAGAGGATATGTAAGGAGGATTATATGAAATCCATTAGTGGTTGATTAAGGGGGTGAGAGAAAGCAAAGTGGGGAGACCTCTGGGATTAGACAAAAAATGAAATGGAGAGACAGTTTGACATTGGTAGGCACAGGACAATTAGCAGTCTCAGCACAAAGGTATTCAGGGAACAAGATAACAACGAGGGATTCCGTGGCCTCATGCTCTGGTGCACAGACCCCCCCCCCCCGGGGGGTCTGAAGATGACTGACATTTCATAGCTACAATATTTTAGATGTAAAGAGATAATAGACCGGCTCGCTTAAGATAAGGACTTTTCTTTGTCAAGGAAGCTACAGGCCTGGGACATGACTCCTTTCTATATATGGATTTTTATGTTCAGACCATTCTAGGTGGTTTCTTTGGTCTCTGAGTGTGTAAGGCCCATCATACAGGCCTGCCCTAAGCTTGTTAACTTCCATATATGGCCACATTTTTGCCCACACTTCTGTTTCTTCTATAGTTAGTTTTCAAGAGAATATTCTTGAGTGTTGGTGCATTGGTGGATGGGGGTTTACACCCCTAAAGGAATTATGTTTAAAGGTTTGGGCAAAATCAGGTGCCATCTCCAGAGCTCGGTGCTCTCTTTGATACACCTGTTCCTTGCGTCATGTGGGAACGGGAAACAAGACAGGAGGGTTTGCTGGGAAGTCTAGGACCTGACCGGAAGCAGCACCAGGTGGAACAGCCTGTCCTGCAGGGCCCTCTGGTCCCGTGGGGGGCCCCACACCACCCGGCTCACTCTCTGGGTTTCATGGGCTTCTTATCCACTCACCTGTCTGCCCTCTCATTTGAGGCTGCTTCTCTGCCTTTAGCTCCCTCACCCCACATTCATCTGTGCTTCTGAAAGTCACCAGCCCCCACTGGCCACTACAAGGCTCACAGGAACACAGCCCCCTATGTGAGTGTGACCCAGGGTAGCAGGGCAGTGTGTGAACAGTCTGAGGTCCCTTCATTACACAAACGCTTATGAAATGTAAGGCAGGCACAGCCCTGGGCTAGGTGCTACATTATCCTGTCACATCTAGAGCCGGAGCCAACAAAACTATGAGTCCTGTGTTGAACTTTGAAGTGACTGTCTGCCATGTATGATGTCATGTCAGCGAGGAGAGACATTTCCCCCTAGAAAACAGTCTCCAATTTAATAAAATGAAAATCTGTGGAAAAACAGATTTACTTGTGCTGTGATTAAAGACAAACCCTGTTACTGTTACGCCCAGACTTCGTGATCCCCAAGGACCACCAGGGAGCTGAGTCCGATGCAATAAACAAAAGAGCCTTTTCCATGCTAGCATGGGCTCTGTCCCACTCACGCCGGCAGCATGGCAGAAGAGAGAGTGAATTTCGCCCAGTCCAGGGGTTTTACTCCGGTCAGTGGTGAGGTCACTGCCTCGGCTAACCCTGATTGGTTGGGTGAGGGCTAGGGTTCAATTACAGAATGGAGGATAACTCCGCCCTGCCCCACAGTGGAGTCAGGAGCCCATCCTTGCCTCGCCTTGCCCTCTCATTCCCCCCTTGTCTAATGTGCCTGAATCAAATCATTGACTCAGCCTACTTCCTTTCAGCATAAACAACAAATACAGTTACCAAGACCCTTAGTACCACAGTTCCCATCAGTATTGTGCTCACTGAAGTCCAGTTCCCCTCCTGCAGGCATCAGTTCTCCTCCTGGCCTGTAGTTGCCAGGATCCAGGCCACGCAGGAGCTGGGAGTGGTGTAGCCAGGTCTGGGTGCGGTCTACTTCAACAGCAGTGGGCGTGCTCAGGATAACAGTGCAGCATCCCTTTGAGTCCTTGGGCAGTGAATTTCTTTACCCACATTAAGTTCCTGGGCTACAGGGTCTGCGGTGGGCACTGGCAGTGCATCTGGAACAAGCAAACTGCAGAGCTTGTAAGGACTTGAGCAAGGGAATGGTTACCATACATGATCCCCTCCCAAAAAAGGAGAAACTTGTCCCAGGAAGGGGTATACCTGGCCCTTAAGAGGGCAAAGAACAGGGCGTTGGTCCAATTTTCACCGATTCTAGGACACTTTTAGTTAAACCCCTTTTCCAGAGTCTCACTTTACCTGTCCTAAAGCTAGAGCTATACTCTCAGATACCTTAGCTACCAAGGTGGGGCTGTTATCTGATATTGGCAGCCCGAATCTAGGTATAATCTCCTGGAGTAATCTCTTGACTACTATAGAGGCAGTTTCTGTCTTAGTGGGGTATACTTCAACCTAATCTGAAGTGTCTACAGAAACTAGACCTTAATGCTGGTGGTTTAATCTCTGAAATCCACCTACCAATGCTCTCCTGGGGAAGTTCCCTGGGACCTGAATTCCCAGGGGGACCCTCTTACCTCGCTTAGCATTTACCTGTGCAC